GATTCCCAAATTCTGCGAAATTTGCCGCTGACTTATTCTACCATCTGCTTGACCAACTATCCTTCCTCTAATAAAATCTGACAATTCGAGAGAACCTTGAGTTCCAGGCATGTTGTAGCATAAGATAATTAGTGTGAACACAAATTAGTTATGATAAATCAGTTAAATGACGAAAAATTAGGTGTCTATTTACTTGTGACCACTTAGTGTACTTATGATAGTTCTCTAGTGGTTTGAAATTGCATACCGTATAAAGCCAGTTTTACAAATTAAAAATATACATTTTATCTTTATATTAACAGCACCGTTGGCAGTTTTATTCATTTATATTTAATCTTGAAGAACACTAAGGTTTTGAATATAAAAAAAAGCCTTCATAACATAGTTTGTTTAATGCAGATTGGAAAAATTGCATAAACATTTTTTCACGATCAAAATAAAACAAGGTAGAGCCCGCTAATATTTTCGGTTTATCGATAATATTGTGTTTTTTTATAGATTGTGGGGTTGTTCACTTTGGAGTCGTCTCACAGAGATCAAGTACGTTATATTGAAAAGATTTTGGAACCTCAAAACGTCTCTACAATCCATGTCGCTATGCCCAGTCATACTATATCTGTTAACATTACATCTTTACAATAGCTCTGCAGCGTGGTTTTAATTACAAAATAAACAGTCTTAAAGTCATCATGCTCAAAAATCATCCGTCCTCATTTCAGCTTTCCATAATCCAGTACCCGTTTCAACAATTTGAAATCTATATCATGTTCCTGTAGTTTGATTTGTTTTATCCTGTATTACATCATGTTCCTGTAGTTTGATTTGTGAGTATTTGTTTTATCCTGTATTACATCATGTTGCATTTAGCAACTTGATTGATTTATCTTCTTATGGAATAGCGTGAATACCTTTTTCGTATTCCACTTGAGTTGTACGACAGTTTAACTGATATGTTGTGAAAGCAACTTATGTACACTTAGTGTGCTGTTGACCAGAACACATGGGTGGCATTTACCACTGACCTTTGTGTTCGTAGATTCTCACCTGTTACAAAATGCTGCACTTTGTTTGCGATGGCTTGGATACGAATTGTTCCAAGCTTATTTCTGGATGGTTCTGGTAACTCAAATTAATCCATATACCTTTTTTTTTCAACACCATTAGGTAGAAGGGATACTCCTTGTGATGGAAATTCGAAATCTCCGATATGAACATGCCATTCTGATCTGAGTGTATGAATATTTTATATCAGAAAGGACTGTTGCGCACCCTTCCTAAAAGCGAACAGTTTTTAGACAAAGTAACACTACCTACAAAATGCTCAACAATATAAAAATGGTGTTCTGATACATTCCATTCAATCGCGACTCTGTGGTTGTCAGGGGAGTTGCTGATTTCCATATTTAAAAATTGTTTTAATGTAATGTACACAATTTTGCATTAGTCAATCTGCAATAAGTTCTAAAGATTTTCTTCATTGGGACGAGCGTGGCAAAATGGTTAGCATATTGAACTATGGATGTCAGAAGTTCTATGGTTCGCGCTCTAATATCACCCCCCCCAAAAAACAACAAATACTCTACTCTTTGGGGCCATGAGTAACGTTGTGTGAAATTCAACAACAACAACAATAATGTGTTCATGTTCTTTACTTAGTAAAAACATCTTACTAAAAAAGTGAAATTTTCAATTACATATGTTAGTCTATTCAAACATTCTAACTTTGATGCTAAAAACAGAGCAAAAGACAAACATTAAAAGCAATAATCCTTTGACCACTCTGAATTATTATTTCTCTTATCCCATACCAGATATATAAAGTTTTATTATGGTTTATCATTTTAAACTTCATTAAAGACAATATTCCACCAAAGTGGAATTTAAAACTCGGCTGTCAGGAGGACGTTATAAATACATATGCCTTGTTTCTTTACACCATTGTACAATTTCAGACTTGAAAAGTCCCACAAGATTCTTAAGACATCATTTTTAACCTCGTGACTACGGAGAGCAATTCGCCATTATTTATCAAAACTTCTAGAAAAACATAACTATATGTGCTACAGTTGTCAACTAGCAGCATTTATTTGCTCAGGTTTATATCTACCAAGAAAAATAATTATTATTTTACAACATTTTGATTGTTTATTTCTCCTAATCTAAGACCGATATGAAGCTGCTGTTTTTAATCTGACGTAAGTGTGTTTGGATCCTTTCAGAAATAGAAGAATAATGAAAGATCAACATTTGGAATAGTTATGACAGTAGTATAGATTTAGCCAAAGGTTAGATAGAGTCAAGGCAGTGGTGTTACTCCTCGTTTTTAGCTTGGTAGTGGTTTGAACAGTAATTTATGGTTTTTCAAGAAAATGACTACCCATAGCACCTTTAGTGGAAGAGGTGGGATGAACATGGAATTCTACGTGGAAATTCTGAAAACTTAAGAATAAACCCAGATCTGGAACTTTTTTTAGCTTTCCTAGACGTTTTGTTTTTCGTTTTTGAAATGTGTTTGTGTTAAATTATATCTGTTTGAAAGCTTGAAAGCCACAGAAACTTTATTCTATAGCAAAACAACAGACAAATTTAGTTAGGTTTATCGAGGGCAGTATATAGTAACAAAACATTCTATTGACTTAAATTCTTATAAACTGAACATATAGTCTTCGCTAAAATGTTTGCATACTGTTCTATATTGATGTTACTATCTACATGCATGGAGTAGTTATTGTGTAAATGTTCGAGTAGTAACATGTACGAGTTGTTATTCTGGTCTGTATAAGTTGTTTTGAGCACTTGTTCGTCAGAACACACATACACACCTGTTTGTATAAAAGAGTGTGCTTTCGGTGTAATCTTTTTCCAAACACATCAACGCTTTGTTCAGAACATTTCTCTATACTTGATGTAGTGTCATGTCTCGTCACGTACCAGAAGTTAAAGTGCGTCAAATTGTTCGACTGTCCACAAAGAAGTGGTATGAAACAAACAGACATAGCCTGAACACTAGGGTACCTCCAGTGTACTGTTTCCAAAATCCTGAATCGTCATTGGACTACAGGTGTACTGGTAGATGCCGAAAACTACTGTCCTAGATGACCGTTTTTTGATCAGATTAAAACATCAAGGTCGTAAGAAG